TGCCTTCAGCTCATGACGGCTTCATTGCCTTCAGCTCGTGACGGCTTCATTGCCTTCAGCTCGTGACGGCTTCATTGCCTTCAGCTCGTGATGGCACCACAAGCCCTGTTCACTGCACGGCACCACAATCCCTGTTCACTGCACTGCACGGCTCCACAAGCCCTGCTCAGTGCACGGCACCACAATCCCTGTTCACTGCACTGCACGGCTCCACAAGCCCTGCTCATTGCACGACACCACAATCCCTGTTCACTGCACTGCACGACACCACAAGCCCTGCTCATTGCACGGCACCACAAGCCCTGTTCACTGCACGGCACCACAATCCCTGTTCACTGCACTGCACGGCTCCACAAGCCCTGCTCAGTGCACGGCACCACAATCCCTGTTCACTGCACTGCACGGCTCCACAAGCCCTGCTCATTGCACGACACCACAATCCCTGTTCACTGCACTGCACGGCTCCACAAGCCCTGCTCATTGCACGGCACCACAAGCCCTGTTCACTGCACGGCACCACAATCCCTGTTCACTGCACTGCACGGCACCACAAGCCCTGCTCACTGCACGACACCACAAGCCCTGCTCAGTGCACGGCACCACAAGCCCTGCTCAGTGCACGGCACCACTAGCCCTGTTCACTGCACGGCACCACAAGCCCTGCTCAGTGCACGGCACCACTAGCCCTGCTCACTGCACGGCACCACAATCCCTGTTCACTGCACTGCACGGCACCACAAGCCCTGCTCAGTGCACGGCACCACTAGCCCTGCTCAGTGCACGGCACCACTAGCCCTGTTCACTGCACGGCACCACAAGCCCTGCTCACTGCACGACACCACAAGCCCTGCTCACTGCACGGCACCACACGGCAGCTTTATGGGCAGTTTATCTTTAAGTGAATCTCACGTTTATACTCTAAGGTTTCTTCGAGGTATCTTCCGTCTTCCATCAGTCCCGTGCCCCATCTACACTCTCTTTTCAATATGTGCGCTCCCAGTACTTAACTGGCTGTTAATTTTTAGTGCATTTTCTCATTTATGGAAAAAAGCCCTATTGTGCTCGCCCTGTCCGTCTGTCTGTCTGTCCGTTCATGACCTCAAGTTTACGTCGACGAGAAAATGCGCTCTCTGTCACTCACTGCAGTGATTACCTACTGAGTTAGGTATATTTTTTAATTGATGCTCAAATGTTTTATCTTGCGTTAAAATTGCACATCATCTTTCCTTCCACTATTCCAATATTCATGCCTTATATTTCGGGAGCTGTCTGCACATCGGGCTGCTGCTGACAAATGGTTCTGGGGACAATAGCTTCTGTAGAAAATAGTATATTGAATTTCACTATAACGGCGTGCACAACACTGTCTGTCGTCCAATTGCGCATGTAAATGCATATAAAGCCGACTGATTTTTTAACTCTACAAATAATTGAGATTTCTATCGGTAGATTATATTATTCATTAGATAAATTTTGAAAAATATTAATATTCGCTCAATAACATTTATTTATGATAGAAACCTCGTAATTTTGTTGTAAAGTTCACAATGCACAAATGGCTGTCGTCGGGCAGCCTTCGTATAGAGCATGAACCACCACCTTCCTCTGATGAAGAACCTCTCAACCCGCGCCCCGGAGAGCCTCTAACGCTGTCCCTTCGTCAAGCTCCTGCCAAATCATCCAGCGGTGTCGCCGCGTCTGGGCAGGACCTGCCATCAGGCCCCCAGCAGGATGAACTTTCCTGCAGGGGCGCCGTCGGTGGCAAGACACACACGGACAGGGCAGGAGATGAGGAGGTTCAGGAGCCGCTGCTGCAGCCCAGCGTCGGCAGGCCAGCGCCGCCGAACAACAAGGAGCTCGCTGACAAGTATAAGGCGGCGCGAGACTTGAGCACCATTGAAATGTGGGTAGAATTAAAATATTTGTTTTATTATTATAATTAAAATTATATATTATAATTACCTATATATTATATTTTATTATTATTTAAAAATATTAATAATAAATGTGGGCATCAGTGAAATGTTAGGGTTATTGAGATGTAAATAATAGTTATATGTGATTAATATTGAAATATGAGCAATATTGAAATGTCAGTAATAATGACAAGTGAGGATAATTGAAATATGAGTAGCATTGAAGTATCAGTAGTATTAAAATGTGAAATTTATTGAAATGTGAGTGTTGTTGAAATGTGAATTTTATTGAGATGTGATTGTTTATGAAATGTCAGTGCTTTAGAAATGTTAGTGGCATTGAAATGTAAGTGTTATTGAAATGTGACTGTTATTGATGTGTGAGTGTTATTGAAGTGTGAGTTTAATTGAAATGTGAGTTATATTGAAATATGAGTGTTATTTAAATATGAGTTATTTAAATATGAGTGTTATTGAAATGTGAGTTTTATTGAATTGCGACCATTACTGAAATGCAGTCACAGCAGTTGCCACTAACCCTTAGCGCGACCCCAACAATATCATACCACAAGGCATGACTCAGAGATCTGGGCATCTGCCTCTGGCCGCACATAAACGGGTGGCCAGTTTAGCGCGCCTGTCTTCGGTTTACACTACTTCAGCCTGGGACACACGCGCAGCCAAAGCTTCAGTTCATTTCATAAGACGAGCTAAGCGTAAATTTTACCTTAAAATTTGTTTGGCTTTTTTGTTCTGAATGCGGTTCCCGCAGAAAAAAACGTAAACTTAATCAATGGCCTGAATCATGCCTGCACCACTGAAAATGCCCTTTGCCATTTGAATTTAAGTGCTCATTTTATTACCATATTTATAAGTTGGACCGGGAGCGTAATAATTTCTTTCTATTTTATACCTTGAATGTCCTACGATACATGGCAGATTAGCTTGCAGTGAATTGCATAGTTTTAGTTCGAGCATAGTATTAGCATAGTATTAGAACTCGCATAGTATTAGTTCGATCTCAGTAAATGGATAGATATTATGTAAACGTTCTTATCAGTCTGTAGAGACTCCACTTCGCAGAAGCGTTCAGAAGATATTGGACTGTCGGAGTGTTTTTTAAGATGCTGATGGCCTTGCAAGCTTGGCGACACCAAATAATCATATGTTAATGAAAACAAAGAAATGCATAAAGAAATTAAAAAAGGCATTTTAGCTGCTGTTTAGTGCTGGACTGCGTAAGACACTACATTACTGCATCAATCGAACACAGCTAAGAGGGAATTTACAACTCGTTAAATCCTTATGGGGTGCGTGTGATGCCACGTGATGCGTGGTGTACGTGTGATGCTGGGTGATGCGTGGTGCACGTGTGATGCCACGTGATGCGTGGTGCACGTGTGATGCCACGTGATGCGTGGTGTACGTGTGATGCCACGTGATGCGTGGTGTACGTATGATGCCACGTGATGCGTGGTGTACGTGTGATGCCACGTGATGCGTGTTGCACGTATGATGCCACGTGATGCGTGTTGCACGTATGATGCCACGTGCCCTAACGTGCCCCCCAGCGACCACGTGGAGCCGCGGTGCTGCGACGCTAAGTACGGCGACGCTCTCAAGAACCTCCTGCCATGGCGACCTCCTCCTAAGTGAGTCATGTCCATCACATAAGTGAGTCATGTCCATCACATAAGTGAGTCATGTCCATCACATAAGTGAGTAATGTCCATCAAATAAGTGAGTCATGTCCACCACAAGTAGAAGTGAGTCATGTCCACCGCATGTAGAAGTGAGTCATGTCCACCACATGTAAAAGTGAGTCATGTCCACCGCATGTAAAAGTGAGTCATGTCCACCGCATGTAGAAGTGAGTCATGTCCATCACATGTAGAAGTGAGTCATGTCCATCACATGTAGAAGTGAGTCATGTCCACCGCATGTAGAAGTGAGTCATGTCCATCACATGTAGAAGTGAGTCATGTCCATCACATGTAGAAGTGAGTCATGTCCACCGCATGTAGAAGTGAGTCATGTCNCACATGTTCTTGTGACCATGTCCACCACATGTTCTTGTGACCATGTCCACCGCATGTTCTTGTGACCATGTCCACCACATGTTCTTGTGACCATGTCCACCACATGTTCTTGTGACCATGTCCACCGCATGTTCTTGTGACCATGTCCACCACATGTTCTTGTGACCATGTCCACCACATGTTCTTGTGACCATGTCCACCGCATGTTCTTGTGACCATGTCCACCACATGTTCTTGTGACCATGTCCACCACATGTTCTTGTGACCATGTCCACCGCATGTTCTTGTGACCATGTCCACCACATGTTCTTGTGACCATGTCCACCACATGTTCTTGTGACCATGTCCACCGCATGTTCTTGTGACCATGTCCACCACATGTTCTTGTGACCATGTCCACCACATGTTCTTGTGACCATGTCCACCGCATACTGTGTATTTTACTGTGTGTTTACGCCCCATCTCTAAATGATCCTTGTGATGCTGTGTCATGGCAATTCCCTCAATAATTATAAACCGAATTTATAATTTCCAAATTACACCAACTTTAAATATTTCTAGTGTTAATCACTGAGCAATTATAAAGAAAATCCACATTTACCCTTCATAAACAAGCGCAGTTTCTTTCTTTTCGCTGAAATAGACCGAAACTTCTTTTTTATTCTTGATTTCCTTTGTCTTGTACGGCTTGTATGTTCACGCCACTCTTATACCTATGGAAATTATAGTAATTAATAAATAGTCAAGGAATTTTTACCGATCTAGCATTTAATATTTATCACTTATCCTGTGATGAGTGAAAATGTCTCTTAAATAAATGATCAAAATTCGTTAATTGTAAAACATATAAATGATTGCAGAGACCCGTCTTACCTGCCTGGACATGACGCTGGCCTGCTGAGCTGCATGAGTCTGTCGTGGCTCTCGCCTCTCATGTACAAGACACGACGCGGCCTCTCCCCTGACGACATGTGGAGGATACAGGTAATGAGCAGACATGGGGTGAGCAGTGACCAGACGTGAGGCGAGCAGTGAGCAGACGTGGGGTGAGCAATGAGCAGACATGGGGTGAGCAGTGAGCAGACATGGGGTGAGCAGTGAGCAGACGTGACGCGTGGTGTTGCTCGCTGCCATATCATTTTCTTCAGCATATTTCTGGATGACGGAGCGATCTGTTTGCCCGCTGCTATACACTGTCGCCGACGAAGGTGGCCCGAGGCTGTACAAGACTTTACTCAAGGACACAGACTGTTCTTTGATATTCAACCTGCAATTGGCTTTGAATTTATGTCCCTTCTACGGGGAAGAAACGTCATTCAAACATGGCAGGAGGGCTGTAGAAGGGTGTTGTGGCAGGAGGGCTGTAGAAGGGTGCCGTGGCAGGAGGGCTGTAGAAGGGTGTTGTGGCAGCAGGGCTGTAGAAGGGTGTTGTGGCAGGAGGGCTGTAGA